GCCTCTACATGCTGATTGGTTAGGCCTGAGTCTCCTGCTCCACCACTAAGCCAGGGTGGAACCCTGTACCAAACTCTGGGGCTGAGAGTGGGAAAGAGATGGAGAGACCAATTTTAGTGATTGACCTCGGATTTACAACACACCTCTTTAACCAGTTTGCCTTCAAAGGATATCCTGCTTCGTGTACAGTATAAGGCCTTAAAAAAGTGGATTCCCATTTCTTCCCTTCTGTTCTTCATGCTGTGGTCATATACTTTATTCTTTATTACTAAAAAAATTTTTTTTAACGTTTATTTTTGAGAGAGAGAGAGAGAGAGCGTGCGACTGAGCACGAGTGGGGGAGGGGCAGAGAGAGAGAGGGAGACACAGAATCCGAAGCGGGCTCCAGGCTCTGACCTGTCAGCACAGAGCCCGACGTGGGGCCCAAACCCCACGTGGGGCCGCGAGATCATGACCTGAGCTGAAGTCGGCCGCTTAACCGACTGAGCCACCAGGCGCCCCTATTCCTTAAAAAAAAAAAATAAAATTATGTTTATTCATTTTCGAAAGACAGAGACGGAGTGCAAGGAGGGGAGGGGCAGAGAGAGAGGGGGACACAGAATCTGAAGCAGGCTCCAGGCTCCCGGCTGTTAGCACAGAGCCCGACGCGGGGCTCGAACTCACAAACCGAGAGATCATGACCAGAGCCGAAGTCGGACGCGCCACTGACTGAGCCACCCAGGTGCTCCTGTTCTTTACTACTTTATTTTTTTATTTATTTTTGGGACAGAGAGAGACAGAGCATGAACGGGGGAGGGGCAGAGAGAGAGGGAGACACAGAATCGGAAACAGGCTCCAGGCTCCGAGCCATCAGCCCAGAGCCTGACGCGGGGCTCGAACTCACGGACCGCGAGATCGTGACCTGGCTGAAGTCGGACGCTTAACCGACTGTGCCACCCAGGCGCCCCGTTCTTTACTACTTTAAATCCCTTCCTTCTCTTCCCCTTCTCCCACCCCTGGCCCCCACCCTGCACTTGCAGAGAACTACTTAACTACATTCTGTCACTAGAGATTAGTTTGCATTTTCTAGAATTTAACATGGATGAACTCAAACAGTACCTACTTTTGTCTGGCTTTCACTCAGAGTTATTTCAAAACCAATCCATGTTATTGGATAAGGTTATTCCTTTTCTTGCTCAGTATTTCATTGTACAGATATACCACCATTCATGTATACACATTTTTTATTTTTACATATGCTATAAATACACATTCTAAAGGGTGGCCCATGAGCCAAGAATGGCTTTAAAACAATTTTAAATGATTTGGGGGAAAAAGTCAAAAGCATTAACTTGTAGCACATAAACATTACATGAAACTCAAATCTCAGAGTCCACAGTTTTATTGAAACACAGCCATGCACATCTACCTATTGTCTAAGACTCATTTCATGCCACAGCGTTAGAGTGCTTACAAGAGGACACGCAAAACCTAAAATATTTACCTGCTCCTTTATAGGCTTGCTGACCTCTTTAGACTTAAGGCAATTCAAAATTTTGAAATTTTGCTTTCATTTATTCCATTTCCGGCACTCTTTATTTCATGGTAGGCGCGCTCACATTTCTGTCTGGTTTCATATTCCTTCTGCCTGAAGAACTTCAATGTATTCCTCCGGTTCTTTTTTAGTTAGAAAAGGCTTTATTTGTCCTTTATTTTCAAGGATATTTTCACTGGGTGTGGGACTCTGGGCTGATAGGTTTTCTTCTTTCCGCACTGGTCACTCCATTGTCTTCTGTCTTGCATCATTTGGTAATTTCTGGCTTCCCCGGTATATCGTAAGGTATTTTCCCTCTGGGCTGGCCTCTAAGATTCTTTGTTTTAGCATTTTCCATATGCTTAGTGTGTGTATAGATTTGTTTGGTGTTCTCTGAACTTCTTGGATCTGTGGCTTGGCGTCTGTCCTTAATACTGGAAACTTCCCAACCTTTATTTCTTCAAGTATTTCTTTGCTTGTATGAATTCATTTGGCCTCTTGTGCTCCAACAACCCACCGTTGAGAAGAGCATACCCTGGGTAGCTTCGGCATGGGTCCCAAAAGGAACCACATGGAGCAAACCAGAGTCCAAAAACACAGGAGCCCAGCCCAGCCTTAACCTGAAGCAGAGCTGTTTGGCTGAATCCAGTTTAGATCAGCTGAACTATAGTTATAGTTGACCTAGAGATCTGTGTGAAGAGTTAGTGTTTTTGGTGAAAGGAACAGAGAGCAAAAGAGAGAAAGAAAGCGTTTATAATGACTGGCTAGAAACCTGGACAGAGATTCTTGGCAGTGCAGCTATGGAAAGGCAGTCCAGGAAGAACTGGGCCGGGAGACATGGGGTCTGATCCCAGGTGCAGGCCGTGGTAGCTCAAACTTGCTCGGGCTGAGCCTCTTTCCTAACCAGCTCCAGCAGCCCTACCTCTGGGAAGGCCTCCTTGACTGTTCTCTCTGCCCCAAGTGCTCAGGATTCCTTTCTGCAGATTGAGTTTTTCTGACATTTATCTGAACCTCACCTCCCAGAGGCGACTACAGCTAGTATTTTATTTTCTTCCAATCTTTTTCTTAGGGGCAGTCTGTTTCAGTTGCTACCTTGAAAGGCCCTGAGGCTGTCTCCTATCTCCCTGGGGGCATCCAAACCCTACCCCCTAGCCTCTGTGGCCCATCTGTCTCCATGCCTGGGGTCTTGGGGGTCACTGTGACTTCCAATATCCACTTACCTTCAGAATGAATGGTCTTCCCCTCTGCCACCTGGGAATTTCCATTTCCTTCTTTGCAACTGGCCATGTACTTGAAAGTAAAGTGTTATTTTAGTCAGCATCTTCATGTATTTAGAACAAGAGGCAGTTAGCTGGGTCTACCATGTTGATTGGCAATGTGATTTTTCCTGGAAACATTTTCTTTTGAGTACAGGTGCCCCATTTGCACAGTTTTGTTTCCCAGTTTTCTGTTTGACAAGAACACATTTCCCCTTGGGCTTATGTCTCATCTCTTTCAATCTCCACTGTTTAGCACAGGGCCAGGTTCATGAACACCAACTAATGTTTGCTGAAGGGCCTCTCATATAAACACAGGACGTCTGGAAAGACCAGTCAATCAGGTGAATGTATAAAGGACACGGGGCTGAGGGGGACGGAGCTGAGGGGTGAGCAGGGAACGGAAGAAAGTCTTTGTCAGAGTGTGGAGAGCTGTGGGTATGTAAGCTTCTTTGTAGGAAATTCACCGTGGGGTTCCCAGAACTGTTCATACAGAAAGAAGCAAGGTCCTTCCTTTCTGGGGACGTCTACAAATCTGTAGCTGAGGCTGACTCACAGGGTGAGACCAGGAAATCATTTACCAGCTGCTGCTGCTTTTCCTTTTTCTCATTAGAGAAGGCAAGAAAACTCCGTCAAAGTGGGTGATGCAAGAATGAAGTTGACTCAGAAATACCCAATCCCCTCAGGAACTTCTCCGAGAAATGGATTGGCCATTTTATAAACTCCCATCTGGAGACATTATAGCGAGACCACGAAGAATCCCTGGTGATTGTCATGGCCACATGGAGGCAAACCCACACTGAAATTTGCTATACTGCAACATTATTTAGCTTTCAGAAGATTAATTGAAAATTCAGAGACGACAGAATGATAGTCTTAGAGGGAAATGAGTGAGATGGGGTGGGCGCAGACAAGGTAATGCTGGCCTACATGCTAATTAGAAACGACTTACATTGTTAAAAATCTGTCACGTTTAATGCATGGATTTTTTTTTTTAATGTTTATTTTATTTTGAGAGAGAGAGAGCGAGCGAGCATGAACAGGGGAGGGGTAGAGAGAGAGGGAGACACAGAATCTGAAGCAGGCTCCAGGCTCTGAGCTGTCTGTCAGCACAGAGCCCGACGTGGGGCCCGAACCCACAAGCCATGAGATCACGACCTGAGCTGAAGTCTGACACTTAACCGACTGAGCCACCCAGGCGCCCTGGATTTTTTTTTTTTTTTCCTTAAAGAAGACACTTTACAATCATCTACTGTGAAACTGTAGGGATGAATGCACAAATCTATGGCCTCCCTATACATGTGACATTGTCTTTCTGCATACGAATCTGCACAACTGTACAATTCAGAGTGGAAAGGAGCATTGAGTCCGCCTGCAGCGTGTGCCAGGCACTTTCCAAGCACTGACTGTTGAGTCTGAACCGCCACCCTATGAAGCAGGTATTTAGACCTCAATTTTACAGATGCAGAAAACGTTAGGACTTCTGGGGCAGAGGGGAAGAGAGGAGGATACGATCAGGAAATAAAGGGCAAAGGGGGCTTCATCTGTATTGGTAATGCAGACCTAACCTGAACGGTAGGCTCACGGGTGTGTTACAGCTTCTTTGTAACTGGCACAGGTCCAAAGTGTTATACGGTAATTTAAATCACTTGTGAAGATTCAGAGATTTAACTAACTGACCCCAAACCATGCACCCAGACAGAACTCTGTTTAGAACCAGGACACTTAAGTTCTACTAGGTTATTTCTCTGACATTTAGCACAGCACCATAGTAAGGTATAAAATCTAGAAAGTACTTGAATACGTGAAGATTGATTCCAGAACCAGACTATCTTGTAACACCCACTATACATCTATTTTACCCAGAGAACAGCCTGAATTTCCTATTACTATATACAATGGTGGAAAGCAGGACTCTCTTAGCACCCAAGTCTACTAAATTGGTAAGGATCACTGCTTAGTCTTCAGCCACTTACGATTTCACCAAGGCCTCATTAAATAAACATTTTCTTGTCACGTTAGTTCAGTCTGGCCTGTGGCTTATAATTACAGCTGCAAACTTAAGGGCCAGATTCTTCTGATCTGAGATGCCCTTTATGCAGTAGTACTTTCATTACTTACTGTGTGTGCGCGTGCACACACGTGTGGTGGAATGTGTGCGTGTGTGTGGGAAGGTGGAAGTGGGAGCCGAGGATGGAATTACCATTTACTGAGCATCTATTATGAGCCTGGTATGGTGCGAAGCATTTTCCTTGTGCTACTCTATTCAATCCTCTTCCATCCTCAGGGATATTGGCCTACTTTCTGAAAAGTTTTTATGAGGATACACAGATTAGTAAGACCTACAAGGTCAGCGGGAGTTTATGTGTAGGCCGAGAGAGACAACAATACAATCAACGTTCAGGTGTAACCAGGCAGAAGGGCAAGGGGATAGTTATGGCAGCGGGGGAAGCAGGCTGAGGGCACTTGAGATAGGGTGGAACATCTGCTCAGATCAAGGTTTTTAGACACGTGTTTTTTGAGGAGGGAACCGGGGACTTCTTTACTTCAAAGTCTTCTGGTTACTAACTTTTTCCTTAAGCAGGAAAGGGCCCCGGGGAGACAGTCTCCCTAACAAGCATGTCACCAGGGACCATCAGCCACAGTCCCTATCGCTTCGGCACAAGGTAGGAGGGGATTACCAGCAGGGGGGGTAGGCGAGGACTGGTGACTGCACAATCACCCAACCCAACCCTAATCTTGGGAGAGAATCTGCTGGTGGGAATCTGCAGGCAGTGGTGAACAGCTAGATTTTTCCAAGAGATGTCCAACGGTCAGTTCTAATTATAACCACACTTGACAACAGGTGAGGCAAGATGAAATTTAAAGACTGAGAGGAAATTAAAATCCCCCAGTCTGTCAACCAATCTCCAGTTTTCTCAACTATTTTAGGACTATGGTAATTAGCCATACTCTGAAGACAATTTTAAAAACTACATTGCTCTGTCTCTAACGGGCCCACTCCAGCAATTTAGTCTTCCTGTCTCCTGTATAAAATGGAAATAAATTCATGAAATGAAGTTCAGGGAAATAAAGTTCATGAAAGTTAGACATTTCAGATACAAGGTATTACACAATAGTTCCTTTCACCTAAACCACACGTTTCAACGCCCAATATTAATGACATGTGGATGTCATAAAATAGTATGCAGTGAACATTTAAAGGAAACTAGAAGTTTGGGATAACAGCACTTCCTCTGATTTCAATTTTTTAAAGTTGTGGTTAAACGAGAAAGATCGAATGGCAATTCAAATATATAATCTTACAGAATTTACTCATTGGGCAGTGGTAAGCAAGTCAACTAAATTTCACCTCTTTTACCAGCCCTTTGAGTAGTTTCTGCTTAAGCTGCCAAATATGTTCCTGTAAGCTCACCAGAAACATCTTCATTCCAGGCCCCAAGACTGCAAGTTGCCTCCAGGGCTAAGGTATCTCCAAGGCCGACCTTCCACAGGGCTTACTGCCATTCACTCAACACCGATCTTTTCTGCTAATGAACAAGCTGTCTCCATGGACCTTTTTATTTAAAACATCACTCAAACCTTCTAAAATCAGTGTTAGAGCTGAAAAGGAACTCTGAAGACACCTCACCCAACCTCACCCTGACTGAACACACAGAGGTCCCGGGAGGTCCCAAGGATGGACAGTACTGTGAATCACTTGCAAGGTCAGGACCAAGGACCAATCCTCCATACCAGGGGGCCAGGGAAACTAGGTTTATCAAGGGCGTAACAGGTGCCAGATACTTGACATTTACTCTCATTCAATCCCAAGGCAGCAGTGGCCCCATTTCATAGATGATGAAACAGATTCAGAAGTTAAGTAACTTGCCAAGTGGCCAAGTATGTGACAAGGGCAAGAATGAAACCAGTCCTGTTTAGCAACAACATCACGCCCTCTTTACTGAATCTTGATGTCAAAAACTTCCAGACTTCAGTGCTCCTCAACCAATCTTAATCCATCCCATTTCACATCTCCATCAACCCAGTATTAAATTCAAAACACACGAGACCTAAGCCATCTAACACAGACGGTGTCGGTTTTTGAGAAGCATATTGCTCAGGCTGCAGGGACATTTCATGTTTAAATGTTTTTATTTAAAAAAAAAATTAAAGACCTTCATGGCACAACTTCTTCCCAGCACAGTTATGTTTTAGTTATACCAATTACAATACAATTACAACCAATAAATCAAGGGGACGAGGGGGAGCTTCTGACTTCAAACTTAAAAAAAAAAAAAAAAAAAAAGAGGGGGGCACTTCAAACAAAGTTAAAAATTACTTAAAAAACCTTTCAGAGTAATTGCCAACACAACTGTCTTATACTGGCATTGCGTTTCCTGCCATCTAGTCACTGCAGACACAGGCAGCGCTGAGAAATAAAGTGTCCCAGTACAAGGTATACAGATGAGGTAATTTACAACAACACAGAAGTTGTTACTCTGTAAACCCTTGCCCGGGACCCACCCCCCCACCTGGGTCTTCTTTTTTTTCATGCTTCTGCAGTGACTCCTTAAGTAGCATTTTAAAAACTTCTATTTATTTCAAAAGGCTCTTGGGTGGCATTTCAGAGTCCTCTGCATTCACCTTCCGTCTCTTGCAAGGCCTGATGCGTGTTAGGAGGTCCAGCTGTCTGCAGCTCCCCACATCAGCCTCAGCCACAACTAGATTCTCTGAGCTACAAGGGTGGGATGTGAAGTCTCGATTTACAACCCTCCTCCCCACCTCAAAAGAAAGAATTCATTAGTCGTAAGTGTCCTGTTCAAATCACAATCCAGTGCAAACGTAATCACAAATTGCATCTCTGGCACATCCGGTGCTTTTAGCTTCTGCACAAATTCCACATGGTAACCCCCACAGCATTCTAGGGCATAAAAGGGTCAAGAACAATAAATATCCACTGTAAGTGGCCACAAGAAAGAAAATCACCCTGCCACACTGTCAGAATGTTTTCCCTATGGTCGAGAAGCATTATAAAAGGAGGCTTTAGCTTCCTCTAAAGTTTACCATTATATTCACGAAAGCCACCACCTTGATAAAGTTACTAGAGCCAAGATGGGTTATAAAGTTAGATAAGTTCATTAAATTCAACTCCTGAAACAATTATGTTTGTCTATGGCGCCCAGGCGAGAAAGGCTTATGATCTATAAAGGTAGGAGAAAGGGGAACTAAGACTTTAGGCCTTAAAATATGTTGGAAGAATTTTTCCTAGTTCCCACAAGCAGCTACTGTAATGAAAGAATAGGAGAAAATACAGAGCTGATGGTTTTGCTATTGTGCTTAAAAAACTAGGCTTCCTCAGTGAAGCACCTGATAAACTTAGGTGGTTGGATTACAGTGGAAAATCCACTTTACACACACACAAACACACAAAAACTGGCGACTTTTCCATCCCCAATCCCTGCACTGCTGAGACACAAAATGGGTTTTATGGCAAAGGATCCTTAATCCCCAGAGACGCTTTGGCTTGTGGTGCTTTTTTAAGGCCTCTCTGCCCTGCCCGGTACCATGGGTCCAATGAGGGGTGTGTAAAAATGGGGGCCTTGGGAAGCCTCCACGGTACAGGGCTGCAGGCCCCTCAGATGTGAACGTGAGACACCCACCCAGCGAGACCTTTACACAGGGAACTTAAATCTAACCTTGATAAATAAAACCAAACGTTTATTTACACCAAAGAATTCCAACACTGGATCTTTCACATGTGAAGGACAAAGTATTATATATATACACACAGCAAGGGGTGGCAGGGCTGTAACAAGAGAGTTTATAGTTTTCCCACAATTACAGGTCTACCATTTCAGTTTCACTGGAGATAGTGGCTCTGCTCCTACCGCTCAGATACATTTACAAGACTGAGGGGCAGGTCTTCTCACTGGATGGCATGTGAAGGAAGGGGAAGAAAGGAAGAAAAGAAGGCAGGAAGCTGAAAATGAAACTCCGTGTGGCCACATCTTCCATTAGCTCTGAAAGAGTTGCTAGCATGAAACCTATATAGACAATGTTTGTTTCTTTTGCAAAAAGCAATAAGTTAAGCCCAGTAACTAACTGAATTCAAAATGGCCAAGTCAAAGAAAACTGGAAAAGATTTTGCCTCCCCCTCCCACCAGCTACAGAGCATGTGGGGAGATGAAGGCGGAGAGGACCAAGGGAAGGAGACTGGGAGGGAAGGTATTAACATTTTAAACTAAACTGAAACTAGAAGTCTAAGTGAGTTGGATTTAGGGCTCGGTTAATAAGACATGATTCAGACTGAAGTTTTCAGGACCTGTCTGCACTTTGGGTAGGTGATATTCAGCATCTCAATGAAACTAAGACATATTTCCACGAGATTCACCATGACAACCCCACTGAAGCACTTGGAGTAAAGTGATAAAAGTGACCAGCAGCACAACGCTCTTGTAGGTTGGGTCCTCCCTTCCTTCTTCCTTCCCACCTCCCTTGAAGAAGCTACATTTTTATAATCTCTGGAGAAGAGCATGAGATATAAATCCCCCAAAGTGTGGGATGGTGGGGGAGCAATGATGGACATGGGAAGAGATCTCCACCCAAATGCAGCAGCCGGGATTGAGGCTGGTTCATCTTTGTTCTTTAGTGATGAGAAACTAAATTTAAAAGGGGGGAAAAATTTTGTCCGTGAAATATTCCACCTGCAGGTAATTTTTCAGGGAATCCCCTGAGTTATGAAAAGTTCGAGTTAAAAAAAAAAAGAAAAGGAAAAAAAAAGGAAAAAAAAAGAAAATCAGCCTATTATAATTTTTTTTTTTTTATGACTGAACTACTATAAATCCACAAGCAACGGTTCAGACACGGTGCTTCTGAAGTATTTCACCCCTCCCCGCCAGGCGCAAGCTGCATCAAGGAGAGCGTCGACTCCCCCACCTCTGCTTAGGCATCAGGAGACAGAAGGGGCCGTTACTGCTGAGCGCCAGCGGCAGCTGGAACAGGCATCCCAAGGGGGTTGGCAGCAGCGATCACTGGTGAGCCTGCCAGAGGTCCAAGGGGTGAAGGGGTTGGCACTGAAGAAATCCCTAAAAGAAAACAGCTAACAATGAGCCAGACACCAACCATGGAAATCTTCGTCACCGGTTTTTCACAGTACCTGTTTCAAGAGTGACAACAGTTATTCCCTTTTTCCCTTTTTTAAGTAATCTCTACACCCAACATGAGGCTTGAACTTATGACCCGGAGATCAAGAGTCACATGTTCTTCTGACCGAGCCAGCCAAGTGCCCCAGTAATTCTTTTTTTTTTTCTGAAGGCCTCTACACAGCCAGATTTTTACAAATTAAATCTAATTTCAAGTTACAATTAACTTCTAAGTCAATTGAAGAGACAGGTAAAGAAATCTTAGCTGGGGGAGTTTAAGCAGTTTGTACAAAGTACACAGCTGGTAAGTGGCAACTATCCTTGAATTGAAAACTGAGGCCTGTCTCCAGGGCAGCGCTTTCCAACCAAACTTTCTGCTCTGTAACCTCTGTGAATATGGTAGTCACTAGCCACAAGTGGCTAATGAGAACTTGCAATCTGGCTAGTGCAACTAAGGAGCTGTGTTTTAAACTGTATTCAATTTTAACTAATCTAAATAGCCACATGTGGCTAGTCTCGGCTCTACTGAACAGCGTGAGGCTAGAGCCAAAGCTCACGTGTTCTTACATCATGACGCCTAGTTAGCTGGCAGCTTTCCAAATTACCAAAAGTCATTTTTGGTGGGGAAATGCTAAAATGGTGTTTTAGAATTTATTTGGTTTCTTCTACTCATCTAATGACCAGAATTACCAGTTAGATTGCCTTCCTCAACCATCCAGTTAATTTTCAAATTGTTACAGATACACTTCTAGAACGGGTAATAAATTCTCATGGTTCAAAATACCAAAAGTGCAGAAGAGTATGCAGTGAAAAATTTCTCTTACCCTTTCGCTTGGCCAACTTATGGTACCATTTTTGGGGTGTATTCTTCCAGAAATATTTTATGCATATATATGAATATAATTATGTAAGAATGTGCATATAAAAATCACATATAAAAATGTGATTATGTATTCTTGCCGCTCCTGGCCTTGGACATGGTGCTGAATCTTGTTTTTATTCCACATGACTATTTTGGAATTAGAGGTAAAAAAGAACATGAAACATTTATTCTTTTCTCTGGTCATATAGCTTTCCACTGAATGGATATCCCATAATTCATTTTATTAGTTCCCTACTGAAAGCTGGAATGTTTTGCTCTTACAAATAAGGCTACAATCAGCAGCCTTGGATTTGGATATATACCATTTTGCCCATAGGCAAGATACCTTGAGGATACCTCAAGATACCTTGAGTTCTAAAAGGTAGCTAGTTCTTTAAAAAAAGAATTGTGACAACAGTTCTTTGAGGGTGTCTGACTAAATGTCCTGACTACAAGTACACCCATATGGATGTTACCTACATGTCGAATTCTCAGGGGATAAGTCTATTGTTTCTTTTACAAAAGTGTGTATTCTACACACAAACTTGCTTTCAATCAAGAAGACTCAACAATAATGAAAAATCATTTCATACAAACCTTTACAATTTGCTAGGCACATGACAGATGCTCTGGGAGAAAACTGGAGAAGCATCCTTGTACACATACAGATCTATACACCTTTACCCCCACCCTCAATTTCTTAATCTTGTTTCTGGGAATCATGCAACTACTGTCACTCTAAACTGTGAGACAAAGATCTCCTTTTACTTTTCATAGTTTACTGGGACTTTCAAGCCTCTCCGTGAGAAATTTTTGGGACTCTGGCCTAGAAGCGACTGTTGATACCCTACTCAAGGCAGTGTCACTAACATAACCAGGTGTCAAAAAAGCATTTGGAAGCCTGGTGAGGAGACCACACAGGTCAGTACTGTCAAGAAGAAGATAAACATTATAGAAAAGAGAAGGGCCATAAGAAATCAGGCCACAAAGAGGGAGCAAAACTAAAAATAACTGATTTCTACTCCCCCCCCCCCCCCCCCCCAGAAAGTTAGCAGAGAACTGACCTGACATCATATTGGCGCTGCTGACAGGCGTACTGCCCCCCGGCATGCTAGATGAGCCCATTCGAGCCTGGTCCTTCACAACAGTATCTAGAGAAAACAAAAAGGGTTAAGTTCTGTTAC